TTTAGTATATGATGAATGGATGGCTAATACTATTCATCAATTAACACCTGCTGGGCGTATACGAAAACCATCCTATGGTACTCTTGCTCAATGGATAAGAGATTCATGGGAGAAGTTGATATTCATTTGATTGTAAAAGCGTTTAAGTGTTGTGGGGTTTCAGTCAAAATGGATGTAGATGGGACGGAGGATGATGTGTGTTTGATTATGAGTTGTTAGATGAGAAGGAAATTCTGAAGTAATGAATTTTGCTAGTATTGACGGTGACGGTGAAGAATATTTTAATATTCGATATTAACAAATTTACCGAACAATTTTGTTAATTGGCTGTTAGAAGGAGGGTACAAATCACGGGGGAGTATATATGCCGGGGGGATACCATAACTAATACCCGGGTATAAATCAAAATTTGGCCTTCAAAATTGCCGCAGGGTACAGCTCACGGGGGGGGGGGTACTCGTGTCGGTGAAATACGGTAATGTGTGATCGCTAACGGGATTGAAATCTTGTATTTCTATTGGCCAATTTACGTGCATCGATCTAATGCACAATTCCCATTAATCTTTTAGTTCGAATTACGATATAACATAAAATTTATTGTCCTAACCCTTTACCATAGTTCATTTTAACTCAGTCGACTGATTAAAGAAATAATATTATACATTGAAAGAGCGACACTTGTAATATTTATATAGTTATGTAGAAAGTGTTCTCACTCTAAATACAAAGTATTTTCTGTATGGTCCCGCAATCGTGGTTGTGTCAAACGGTTTCTATACCGCTTTATGTAAACATAATTTGATTGTATGATTTTTACAACTTTTCGGATCCTTATGATAATTATTGTCTCAATACGCAAATTATGTAATTCCAAAATCGACAGTTACTAATAAGGTAATGATGTCGCACGATACTTTATGTACAATTGGATTTTGTCTTACGGTTGATGAACATGCGATTTTATCGTACGATTGGCGAACATACGATTTTATCTTACGGTTCATGAACATACAATTTTGTCTTGCGATTGATGAACATACGATTTACTTATCGTATCATTCATTAACAGCTGTAATATTAAACATTCGATAACTGTTCTTAGCATTTTGTAAACATAGCTAAAAGTAATTCGTATTTGTGTTATAACAGTAATAGCCCTAGTGTAAGCAGTTAGGTTAGTCGTAATTCGAACTTAGGTAAAAAGATTAAAGACTCTAAGTATAATGGGAATTGTGCGTTAGATTCGATGCACGGTAAATGTTGGCCAATAGGAATACAAGATTTCAATCCCGTTAGCGATCAATAATGAAAATAGTTCCAATCCGTTAAGGGAACCGGGGTTGGCATGGAAAAGCCAAGGTGTAGGCCTTAGGAGTATTTTATTTACACGAAATGTATAAATTTTATTATAAATTTACATTACAATTTACATTGCCCCTAAGTAATTCCCTTATTAGAACAGGAAACCTTTATCAGGAAACACACCAAATACTCTTTACCGAATAAGTAAACCCGTGTGCGACGCAAAAGTTGCGCATGCGACACAAGATTACAAAGCTTGCTAACTGGCTGAAAACGCTGCTGACGACAGCATTTAATCTTGTGATCGCAACAAAATCTTGGAGTTACTGGGGTAGTTCTTGTGAATGTAAGCATTTTTCGTAGTGTCATTGTGGAAATTGACAGATTTGTTTTATTATTTTAAACAATGTAATTGTTTCAACGATATTTATTGCGTTGTGGTTGATTCCTGAAGTAAGTTAACCAGTGCTGTTTTTATAATAAAATAACTGCGGACGATTCGCGAATTTCTGCGCATTGATTATTATTGGTCACCTTCTGCATATAGGGAACAATAGTTACATTGTGAAAAGATCTAGAAAGTTCCTAGTAATACGTCATCGATTAAACTGATCGGCGTTTGTATATTAGATCACATCGCGCAGCACATCTTGCTACATGAGTACTAAAGAAGAACGCCTTGAAGAACTGAAGCAACTGTACGATAAAGGTCTCATTTCACAAGCTGTTTGGGATAAAAGGCAGCTTGAAATCCTTAAACAGGATGATAGAGGTAACGAGTTTGTGACTCGGGCGTTGGGGACATAGAGTAGTGTGTACTTGGGGTAGAGTAGTCAAGGTAGGGCTGCTTTGTGACTCGACGTTAGGCATGAATAGAGTGTAGAGTCAAGCGCAGCAAAATACTTGTTTCTGTTTTCTATGATTTGCCTGTATCATCTAATATCAAATACTTGTTTTCTTATGCTGAGAGTTTGCCAGGAGAATGCTACTAACTAAAGTTGACCCGCGTTCTATTCTTTTTCTAGTCCTTCTAAGTCAGGATCAGGTCTTATCCCTTACTCCACCTAATCTTGAATACTCCAATGAACTGAGTTCTAGCAGAGCAACAACACAGGGAGAATTTACAGCGCCTTCAGGCTTGATTTTATGGGAAAAATTTTTTGATGAAGTGGCGTCATTTTTCTTTGGACAACAACCAAAATATCAAGAACCGAATTTCCACAAACAAAGGAATGTTGCTAATGAAGAATCAGTTCGCGTAGCCATGATTATTAACATCTTTGACATCCTGAATACAGTAATGGAGGATGAGGGAATCGTATTCACAAACCAACGTCTCAATAATACGGTTGGGGTGCCAGACTTTATTAGCAAAAAAGGGGATCAACTCATACTGACAATAGAAGTCAAAAAAGAATGTGTTTTGCCTCTTGATGATCGAACATTTCCCGATTATTTTGCTGTTGATCCTACAGCACGAACGGTTATATCACAAGCATATACGTATATGGCTAATAACAGACTTCGATATGGTGTACTAACAACATATCATCAACACTGGTTTCTAAAGCGACAAGAAGGATCCAAAATATTATATATTTCCAAAACACTCGATCTTCAATCTGATAACCCTACGGTGCTAAAAGCATATGCGTATCTTGCAAAGCAGGCAAAGGAACAACCTTTCTGTGAACATCCTGACGTTATAATTAGGTTGCCGAATGAAAATTCTCAATCGGAACCACCGTTTCGTCCACGTAAGAACAATTCTAACAGCGCTCCACAAGAAAGAATGGAACCGCCAGGCTCAGGGAATTTTCAGTCTGGCAATTTCGTCGGGGAATATCTGGGTTATGGCAGGAGTGGAACTACGTTCAGTTGTAAATACAATGGAGAAGATATAGCCCTAAAACTTACTGATTTGTCAAAAAAGAAATTTCTGTTGCCGGAACTGTTAAAAGAGATAGACATCTATCACTTTCTCGAGGATCTTCAAGGGTTGTTCATACCAAAATTGGTAGGCTATGGATACATGTGGGGTAATATGTTTTTCGCTATTGCGACAACCATTGTCGGCAAATCGTTGGATCACAGTATGACCATTAACAGAAAGCAGGAACAGAATGCTTATAAAGCATTAATTGAAATACACAGACACAATGTTCTCCATAACGATATCCGAAAAGAAAACATTATCCTTAGCAACGACAGGAAGAGCGTTTTTATTATTGACTTCGGATTAGCAACTATCGATAATAATAAGGTAAAACAAGAAAAAGAGATGGATCAGTTGCGCTGTTTGTTAAAAGAGATGGTGGCATAAGAGAATTTGAGTTGCAATAGTAATACTGAATAGAAATCATGCACCTTTACTGCAATAAATACTTGCTTAATTAGCTTTCCGTATTGCAGGCCTTGTATTTGAGTTGGCTGGGTGATAGATAGAGTCACATCATTGCACATATTTGTAATGTGTTCGTTCCGCCGTTTATTATTTATGTTGAGACTAACATTGTGCACCGGGAGAATTCTCAAACTTGGACTCGGTACCTCGGCAATCAAGATAGTTTAAATTTCATACCAACTCATTGATGCTTCGGCTTATAAATTTCTATCATAAGAATGATAAAATATATATATAGGACTACCCGTATATGGATAATAACGAATACAATGGTTCCACCGAATATGAAAAAGCAATGCGTTTCTTAGAATTAGGTTGCAGATGTGGTTGCTCGAAAATGATTCCGAGAGAGAAGTTTGCCGAATTACGTGAAGCATTTCAAGCCCTCTCTAGATCGAAGCAAGATATATTTTTAATGGCTCAACTGAAAGCAATGAATGGTGGGGAGATAACTGCCAGTCGACGTCTTAAAAAGAAAACGCGTGCTAATAAGCGAACGTTTTATTATTGAGATCGCAACACACCTCTTTGCCAGAAAACGTATCTCAATATGTTAGGAATTGGTCGCACACACTTCGAAAATGTCAGAAATCACCTAGCAACGAATGGTATAATACCACGTGTTCATGGTAATGTAAAACGAGTGCCGCGATGGAAAACCAAAATAACCATTGATATAAGTGTTGCTACTGCCGTAAAGAATTTTCTCGAAAACTATGCGGAAATTCATGGACTACCAAGTCCCGGTAGAAATGTCAATCGCATTACTCAATCACTTACGCTTTTGCCAGCCGAAACGAGTTATAAATCGGTCTATCGTGATTTTATTGCCGGTCTCGAAAACGATAGCACGTTGAAATTGTTAAAATACGATGCGTTTCGCAAGTTATGACACCAATTAACGCCTTACATTCAAATTATGAGTCCACGAACGGATTTATGTGACACGTGCCAACATTTTCGGAATGGCTTACAGTATAATGCTCGTAAGGAAGAAGAAGCGAAGGATTTACTAAAAAAATTTAAAGAACATCTAGTTAAAGCTAAGTTAGAGAGAAATTATTACAACAAAAATACGAAATTAGCAGAACAACAGAGGAAATTGGTAGATGAGCAGCTTATAATAAGAGGTAGAGCTGATTATTGTAACGTTGACGCGACTGCTCATTACAGTTACGATTGGGCGCAAAATGTTCACGTACCCCATTCCGATCAACAGGTAAGTAAAATTTATTATCTCAGTCCGCGTAAAGTGCATTTATTTGGTATCCAAGATGAGGCAGTACGCGAACAAATTAATTACGTTCTCGATGAAAACGAAATTATCTGGAAAGGCCCCAATGGCACCTTAAGCATGGTATTCGATGGAATTAAACGATTGAATAAAGGTGAAAAACATCTAAAGATTACGTGCGACAATGCGGGTGGTCAAAATAAAAATAATGCTACCATTTGATTTTACTTGTATTTGGTAATTTGCGGTTATTATGAAAGTATCGAGTTAAATTTTATGGTACCGGGACATACTAAATTTAAGTGTGATGGTCGTTTCGGACTGATTAAAAAGCTCTATCGAAAAACAACCGTAGATTGTGTGGATCATATTGTTGAAGTAGTAAAAAAATCGAGTGCAGCGGGGTTAAATAAAGCTCAGCGTTATGACAATGGAAAAGGTTTTCAGTACTTGGATTGTAATTCCGTGTTGGGAATTTTCTTTAAGAAATTAAGTGGTTTACAAAAATATCAGCATTTTGTATTTGAAGCAGCCAGTCCTGGGGTTGTCAAAGCTCAACTGGTTGCTAATGGTGCTTTTACTGAATTTAATTTATTGAAAACCAGAAAAACAACTGTTTCTGAGGTTATTAGAGAACTTAAATCCTTTTCCATCCTAATGCTAACTCCTCCTCCTTTGGATTACAAAAGACAAGAATATCTTTATCATAATATTCGCCCCTTCATTAGAGATGAATTCAAAGATATTACTTGCCCAAGCCCAACCTATACTGGAAATGAATAAATATTTAGACTAAAATTCGTTAATTTCCTCGCTGCATTCAATTCTTCCTAATTTTTGACGTTTCCACTTTATAGTTTTTAAAGTTTAAATAAAAAAAATGTTAAAATAATTATATACTTAGCATAGCCTTATAAGTATATTAAAATAACAAATAAAAATTTAAAAAATCATGGTAAATATTTTAAAAATACAACAGCAGCAAAACCAAGAGTTGCTAAACAAAATTGCTGATTTAGAAAAACAGTTAGAAGATAAGAATCAAAAACAAGAATTCGAACAGTTGAATAATGAACAAATCAGAGAATGGATAATTAGCATTATAAGTAATGATTATGGATCTGATATGGATCAAAAAGCAATTGATGCAGTTATGTATCATTGCAACCAAGAATGTTGATCTAAGTTTTGTGAGTGAAATCCCACTGAAGCAATTCGTAAGAATTTAATTCTCTATACTTACAAGTTCAATCATTACTGAAATTTTACAGGAAAACTTTACAGTGAAAGGAATGATGCTAGATATCACATACTTGTCAACCTTATCAAGTTAAACTCTGAAGAAAGTGTGATGACGTTGCTATAGGCGATGACGTATTCCTCTCTAGATTTCTGCGGCAATCGTTGGTATCACCAGGAT